GGCGACCTCGTTGGCACGGCGAAGAAGATACTCATTAGTGTTCGCCCTGCTGACGTATGTTGCCTGGAGTTTGAGAATGTGCCGCAGGCCTTTTAGCTGGAATGCGTCAAATTTCTTTTTGAGTGAATCACTTACCTGCACAGACCCTAGCCCGTAGATGAGTTTCGAGCGCGCTACAGCGTCATGCGCACCTAGCTTGAGCCTTACGCTGCAATCATAATGTTTCCAAAACTCCCCGAGTCTCTTCTAGGTGACATAACGATCGGAGGTCCGCTTGTTCACCTCCCTGACAGGGTCGCCTCTATCGTAAAACATGCAGCCCAGATATTTGGACTCACTGTGCGGGGGCACGTGTTGACCGTTTCTGAAAGTAATGACGTCGTGACCCACTACGCACAAGGCCTCACATTTGCTTCTGTTCAGTACCATGCCGTACTTTTCGCCCTCCCTCTCGATTGCGTGGAGAAAGTGTTGCAAGGCCTCGTTGTCCTCCGAGAGAATTATGGCGTCGTCCGCGTAGAGAACCTCATCCAGTAAGGCGTCCAAAACCCTGTGTTGACCAAGCGTTTCATGAAGCCCCGGCGCGCTGTGGACGCCCCTATACATGACAGTCATAACGATGAAGAATAGATATGGAGACAAAGAACAGCCTTGTCAGATGCCCGTATGTTGGCGGTGCCAGGTCGAGCTTCGGCCCTCCATTTCAACGTGGAACTGTGGATTCTTGTATGCTTCTTGCGTGAGCCGAATGAGCTTCTCGTGGCTACCCATCCTTTCCATAGTTTTAAACAGGCCCGCGGGTGACACCTTACCGAATGCTCTCCCAACCAAGCAAAACCAAATTGATTTTTCGGCTCGTCCGCTCTCCCAAATCCAGAATCCGACGTGTGATGTGTACTGCACGTGCCGTCCGTCGCTTCTTCCGGAAGCCGCGCTGCACCTTTAGAGGCGCGGGCCGATCGCGGCGGCAACGCGGCGTTGTAATGCGGCCGCAAAGATTTTGCACATCGAATTCAAAAGGGAAAACGGCCTGTAGTTGCTGAGGTTGCCCGTGCCGCCTTTCTTATAAATCAAAGCGGCCCTTGCTTTTAGTTGCTCTTCTGGTATGCTGTCCTCACTCCACCATCTGCTCAGCTCCGTTAGAATGAGAGTAAGCATGCCGTCGTCCATGTCCTCGACGATTTCCACGGGCACTTCGTCTAGCCCGTCGCCATTCAAAGTTTCGGATGCGCCCGATAAGGCTGAAAGCGCGGCCGCGCACCTGGAGCAACAAATATGGCCAGCGATGGAGGATGAACGCAACGAGCTTTTCAGCGGTCCCCAGATTATAGAACGGCGTCTGGATTCCAACGCGAACGCCATGGCACTGCCCAAGCACCGGGACGTACTATATATATATATACATATAAATGAATGTGTATATATATATATACATATATATATATATATATATATATATATATATATATATGTATATATGTCTGTACGTATGTATATATATATATATATATATATACACCAGTGTCGGTGCCTGTTGGGGGCCGTTTGGATGTTTTTTTTGCTGCCTCTCGGGAGCCTCTTGGCAGCTTCTTGGGGGTCTCTTGGGGCGTCCTGGGGGCCACCTGGGGCCCCCTTGGGGCCTCCTGGGACCTCTTGGGGCCGAGGGCCCGAAAAGTCCGTTCGGATCCCGCGTTTGGGCCCCTTCTTGGACCCGTCTTGGGGACCTCTTGGGCCTTCATGGGGGCCTCTTGGATCGTCTTGGGATTGTCTTGGGCCGTCTTGGGAGCGTCTCAGGCCGCCTTGGGCGGTCTTTGGGGCCTCTTCGGCGGTCTTGGAGCGTCCGGTCGCCGAAAACGCGAGAATCCAAAAAAACCTTCAAAAACAATTGAAAAATCAATGAATTTTGCCTCTTGGAGCCCTCTTGGGACGCCTCTTGGAGGCCTCTTGGCGCGTTTTGGAGGCCACTTAAGCCGTGTTGGGATCATCGTGGGCGTCTTGGAACGATCTTTGGGAGTCTCGTGGCCTTCTTGGACCATCTGGGGGGCCTCCTGGGCCCGTCTCCAAGCTGTCCTGGTCCGTTTTGGGGCCGTCTGGGAGCCCCTGGGAACGGCCAGGGGAGGGAAACACGCATATACAAGGGGGGTCGCTGCCCGGGGCCGGCCTGGGATCTCCATATATGTATATGTACATATATATATATATATATATATATATAATATCTATCTTCTATCTATCTATCTATCTATCTATCTATCTATCTATCTATCTATATCTATCTATATATATCTATCTATATATTATATATCTATCTATATATATCTATATATCTATAATCTATATATATATATATATATATATATATATATATCGCACGCATGCATCTCAAAGGTGAGTTCATGGAGCGTGCGCCGCAAGCAACTGAATACAGAGCTATCGCCTCCCAGCTGGAGGTCATCATGCACTAGACATGGAGTGTACGTCGCAAGCCACTGACGATCCAGAATCGCGCTGCCGAGCCGCAAAGAATGAGGAAGAGACGCAGAGCTGCAAAAGAAGAAGGAATCCGTCAGGAAAAGACCCGATGTTCTGTGAATATGGCTAGCGCGACCAGCACCAGAGGAACGAAAAACACACACGAGCGCGAGCAGAGTAAAAACTTGTTGGAAGCGTCGTCTCCCGCAGCATCTTGGCGCAAGGCAACCTCGCGTCCAGCGTGCCGACACGTCGGAGAACGAGCCAGCCGCTCTCTGGGAGTGGCCAGTGCCAAGAGCATCGCACCTCGACAGCCCACGCTGCCGAGGACATCTGCTCTCTGGCGTCGGCCACGCGATCGACTTGGCGCCGCGCTCAAACGAGCACCATCCGCCTCGCCTCCGTGTCCGCCTCGACCTCCACCTGCGTGGGCTCGGAGGCTGCCGCCAGCTCCGAGGCGGGCTCGTCGGGCTCCTGGGCCTCCTCCACAAGGCGGCGACCGGGCTCGCACAATCTCCACACGCGCCTCGTGACGCTGGAGTCGGACGACCACAGGATGCTGGACGACGGGTGAACCCATGCGGACGACGGCGCCTTCCACTGAAGAACTTCCATCCGTCGACCAAGAGGTAGTCGAAGTACCACTCCACGTTGAAGTACTCCACGATGATCGGTGATGCACTCGCCGCGTTGATCTCGATCGTGCACTGCTGGTTGTTGCTATAATAATAGTGCGGATAGTTCGGGCTCTGGACACATGCGCCGTCTTGCACACACGGGCCCGAAATGGCCCCCCACATGCTCCCGGAACCGGGCGCAGCCGTCGGTGCAGGCGTCGGTGGCGCGGTCAGTGCAGGCGTCGGTGCTGCAGTCGGAGGGGGTGCAGGTGTTGACACCGGCATACAGAATTTCCAGCCACTCCTCGTGACGCTGAAGTCGGACGACCACAAGATACTGGATGTCGGGGTGACCGCAGAGGGACCTGAAGATCCAGTATACGTTGCCCCTCCGTCGACAACTAGGTAGTCGAAGTACGACTCGACGTCAAAACTTTCGACGACGATCGGTGCTGCGTTCGACGCGTCGATCGTGACCGTGCACTTCTGGTCGTTGCCGTATGGCTGTGGATAGTTCGCGCTCTGCACGCATGAGCCGTCGAGCGTGCACGGGCCAGAAATGGCGGCCCACATGTGCGCAGAACCGGGCGTCGGTGCAGCGGTCGGCGAAGGAGTCGGCGGAAGAGTCGGCGCAGCTGTTGGTGCAGCCGTTGGGAAAGCGGTCGGTGCTGCTGTCGGTGCCGCGGTCTGGGAAGCGGTCGGTGCTTCCGTCGGTGCAGCAGTCGGCGGCGCTGCTGTCGGGGAAGCGGTCGGTGCAGGTGTTGGTGCTACAGTCGGAGGGGGTGCAGGTGTTGACACCGGCATGCAAAATCTCCATCCACTCCTCGTAACGCTGAAATCGGACGACCACAGCACGCTTTCCGCCAGGGTGACCCCAGAGGGACCTGAAGATCCAGTATACCTTGCCCCTCCGTCGACAGTAAGGTAATCGAAGTACGACTCAACGTCAAAACTTTCAACGACGATCGGTGCTGCGTTCGACACGTCGATCGTGATCGTGCACTTCTGGTTGTTGCCGTACGGCTGCGGATAGTTCTCGCTCTGAACACATGCGCCGTCGAGCGTGCACTCGCCGACGATGTCCGCCCACATGTGGCTAGGAGAAGGCGTTGGAGGAGGTGCTGGAGTTGATGGGGTCGGGGCCCCAGTCACCCCCATCAACTCGTCGATCCAATCACGCACGTAGCTAACCCGAGACCATATGCCGGGGTACCGCTGATCTGCACACCCATAGCCCCACGACGTGGCTCCGTGCAAGACGTAGGAAGCGCCGCCAGAGGCACAAACGAGCGGTCCACCGCTGTCCCCCTGGCAGGCGTCGGTAACGTCCCCGTCGCTGTTGGCGCCCTGCGCGCACAGCATGTCAGCGGTAATCTGCGATTGGCCGTAGGCCCCTCTGCAGTCTGAGTTGCTGATGATGCTCACCTGCGCCTCCTGCATCAAGTCAGGGGACGACACTCCAGAGGAAAGGGTCCCCCACCCGGTGATGAAGCACTCCTCACCGTCAGCGACAGCCTCAGTTGGCAAGCATGCTACCCCAATGCATTCGTTCAAGGGCGCCTCACCGACCAATTCCACTAGGGCAAAGTCGTACCGCACTGTAGAGCTGTCATAATCTGGATGCGAGAACACTTGTTTCACCTGCAATGTCTCCTGACCCTGGTCTGTCGACCATTTGCGATAGCGCTACGAAGGAGAAGCTATGCCAACCCACGCAGTGAGCAGCTGTCAGGACCCAGTTCGGGGCGATGAGTGTTCCTCCACAGAAGTGCCCCCAAGAGGCCGCGAGGGACACTTGCCACTTCCACTCGCACGGCGTGGTGGCTTGCCCTGCAACAATGCGCTGACCGCGTTGCGTCTCCCAAGGAGTGTTGTCGGGACCCTTTTCGCCGCACAGCGGCGCTGGCGACGGTGGCGGCGAAGTCGGCGCCACCGTTGGTGCTGCAGTCGGCGCAACTGTCGGTGCTGCTGTTGGGGAAGCGGACGGCGCCTCCGTTGGTGCTGCTGCTACAGTCGGCACACTTGTGGGTGCTGATGATGGGGAAGCGGTCGGCGCCGTCGTTGGTGCCGCAGTAGGCGCAACTGTCGGTGCTGCTGTTGGGAGTGCGGTCGGTGTTGCTGTCGGCGTAGCTGTCGGTGCGGGCGATGGCGTCGGGGGCACCGTCCAATCTCCCATCAACCCAGCCATCCAGTCGCTTGCATAGGTGAACCTGCTCCAAACTCCAGGGAAATTCTGCACGCCGCATGAAGCAGCTCCCCACGACACAACGCCATGAAGGAAGTAGCTGCCGCCTGAAGCGCAGACAATCGGCCCTCCGCTGTCCCCCTGACATATGTCGGTTACCAACCCACCGTTGGAGCCCTGTGCGCAAAGCATGTCATCGGTGATCGTCATCCCTGACAGGCCCCATTGAGCCTGGCAATCTGTGTTGGTCCATGTTGTTACCCCACCCTCCTGCAACAAGTCAGGGACGCTCCCTCCGTCGACCATTCCCCACCCAGTGGCGAAGCACTCTTCACCGGCACCGATGTCCTCCGTCGGCAAGCACGCAAGGCCGATACAGTCGTTCAAGGGCGCCGCATCGGCCAACTCCAAGAGGACGTAATCGTAGCCCTGGTCCCAGTTGACGTAGTTTGGGTGAGTGTGCACGTACTGAACCTCCAGTCGCACTCCCACCGTGTCCGTTTGGGACTGGCTGTGAAGGCCTGCGACGACCCAGAACGAAGAACGAGGGAAGCAGTGGGCGGCCGTCAAGACCCAGTTCGGTGCGATGAGCGTCCCTCCACAGAAGTGCCCGCTGGAGCTCTGGAGGGAGACCTGCCACGGCCACTCGCAGCTCGTGGCCTCCTGTCCCCCGTAGACGCGCTGGCTGCCCCACGCCCAGGGGGTGTCGTCCGTGCCCTTCGCGCCACAGGTCGATGCCGCGCCGAGCTGCGCCAGTGCTGTGCAGACGACTGCCGCGGAAGCAGCTCTCATGGTGCCTTCAGGTGTGAGCTGCTGGCGATAACTATATCAGTGTGACCTTTCCTGGAGCTGACCTGAGCAAGTGCGGCACAGTTCAAAGAGCTGCCTTGATATATATATATCTATATATATAATATATATATATCAAGGCAGCTCTTTGAGGTGAGGGAGTGAGATCGAAGTGGAACGGAGAGACCCCTTACGGGGAAATCGGTTTCGGTTTCGTGTTCGTGCGTGCCGTGCGTGCGGGCGAGGCGAAGCTGCGTGGGCGGGCGAGAAATGTCCCGCCTCTGGCTGAGGCTCGGCCGGAAAAGGTTCCCTTCTGGCAACCGGTGCCGCGCGGTGTCCCGCCGGTGTCTCGCCGATGTCCCGTCGGCGTCCCGATGATGATGATGATGATGATGATGATGATGATGATGATGATGTAGATGATGATGATGATGCTGACGATGTTGATCATGATGATGATGGCCATGGTGGTGATGATGGTGTCCCAATGATGATGATGCTGATGATGCTGATGTTGCTGATGATGATGGTGTCCCCAATATGATGACGACATTGTTGATGATCCTGATGATATGGATGATGGTGAGATGAAATGGTGATGATGATGATGGTGTCCCGATGAGGATGATGATGAGGTTGATGATGATGATGTTGATGATGATGGTGTCCCGATGATTATGATGATGATGATGGTGATGATGATGATGCTGGTGACGATGATGATGGTGTCCCGATGAGGATGATGTTGATGATGATGATGATGTTGCTAATGATGATGATGATGATGATAATGATGATGATGATGATGGTGTCCCGATGATGGTGTCCCGATGAGGATGATGTTGATGATGATGATGACGATAAGGGTGTCCCGATGATGATGATGTTGATGATGAGGATGCTGATCAGGTTATGATGATGGTTTTGATGGTGGTGGGCCGATGATGATGGTGATGATGATGCTGATGTTGATGATGATGATGATGGTGTCCCGATGATGATGATGGTGATGATGATGATGCTGGAAACGATGATGATGGTGGTGTCCCGATGAGGATAATGTTGATGATGATGTTGCTAAAGATGATGATGATGATGATGATGATGATGATGGTGTCCCGGTGATGGTGATGTTGATGTTATTCATGATGATGATGATGATGCTGATGATGATGATATGCTGCTGATGCTGATGAAGATGGTGTCCCGATGATGGTGATGGTGGTGATGATCATGGTGACGATGATGGTGCCCCGATGATGGTGATGATGGTGATGATGATGATGATAGCCATCGTGATGATGATGATGATGATGATGATGATCGTGTCCACATGAAGATGATGTTGATGATGTTGATACTGCTGATGATGATGATGGTGTCCCGATGATGATGATGATGATGTTGATGATCCGGACGATGTTGATGATGATGAGATGATGAGATGAGAATGATGATGAAGATGATGTTGATGGTGCCCCGATGATGATGATGATGATAAGGTTGATGATAATGCTTTTGATGACGATGATGGTGATGATGATGAGGATGATGATGGTGATGTTGATGATGATGACGATGATGGTGTTCGATGATGATGATGAGGATGATGATGAGGTGATGATGCTTTTGATGATGGTGGCCCGATGGTGATGATGATGCTGATGTTTGATGACGATGGTGTCCCGATGATGATGAAGATGATAATGGTGATGACGATGGTAACGATGATGATGGTGTCCCGATGGTGATGATGTTGATGAAGATGATGGTGATGATGATGATGGTGTCCAGATGATGGTGATGTTGACGATGTTGTTCATGATGATGAGATGACGATGATGGTGGTGTTCTGATGATGATGATGGTGTCCCGATGATGATGATGTTGATGATGATGATGGTGACAATGATGTTGTCCCGATGATGCTGATGGTGATGATGATGATGTTGATGATCATGGTGAGGAGGTGATGATGATGATGGTGTCCCGATAATGATGATGGTGTTGATGACGTTGATGACGGTGATGGCCATGATGATGAGGATGATGACGTTGAGTGGGAGCTCGATTGTGACATCGATCGTGACATCGAGAGTGAGACCGAATGTGATATATATATATATATATATATATATATATATATATATATTGTGAGATCGATAGTGAGATCGATTGTGATATCGATACTCATATCGATAGTGAAATCGATCGAATGAAATAGATCGTGTGATATTGATTGTGAGATCGATCGAGTGAGATCGATGGAGCGAGACCGATAGTGAGATCGATAGTAAGATCGATAGTGAGACCGATTGAGTGAGACGTTGGTTCCTCCCCCCCCGAACCTCCTTATCACCCGAAGGGTGGTCGTATAGGTATGTGTGTATGTATATGTGCATTTCCCTGCTAGCAAAAAGCTTCTTAGGAGCCCCGTCGCCTTCTGAGAAGGCCTGCCCAAACTCCCTTACCCCACCCCCTGAGGCACGCCGCCGAAAAGAAGGACGGCGATTCCGTCCTCTGTCGTCTGTCCTCCGTCCTCTGTCGTCTGTCGTTTGTTGTCTGCCGAATGTCGTCTGTGGTCAGTCGTCGGGCGTGTGTCGTCTGTCTGTCGTTGTGTCGTCTGTCGAAAATCGCCTGTCGTCTGCCGTCTGTGGTTGTCGCCTGTCGTCTGTCGACGACGTCTTCGTTGCTGTCGTCTGTCGTCGTATGTCGCCTGTCGTCTGTCGTCTGTCCTCTGTCGTCGTCGTCGTCGTCCTCATCGTCGTCGTCGTCGGTCGTCGGTCGTCGGTCTTCGTCGTCTGTCGTTTGTCGTCGGTCGTCTGTCGTCTTTCGTCTGTCATCTGTCGTCGTCGCCTGTGTGTCGTCTGTCGTCTGTCGTCTGTCGTCTGTCGTCTGTCGTCTGTCGTCTGTCGTCTTCGTCGTTGTTGTCACCGCCGCTGCCGACGCCGTCATCGCCTCTGCCGCCGCAGTCGTCATTGGCGCCGCCGCCACCGTTGTCGTCGCCGCCGCCGCCGCCGACCAGGATCGAGGTTTTACGACGAGTTTGGATCGCTTCGACTTTCTGGAAGCCTCCCATGGCCTCCGCAAACATCCGGCAACCACTGCAGATCCTCGGAGGCCCTTGTGGAGAGCCCCGGAGACCCGCTGCTACACCAACAATGGCCAGGCTCATCCGCAGCTGTAGAGACGTTGTATACGCCCTCCTGGCCTGGCCCTGACGGCGCAGCAACCGTTCCTGGGCCCAGTCTCGGGCCTGACCAGGGTCGGTGCACGGTACACACTCAAAATCAGCCATGAGGATGAAGCGCAAGAATGCAAGGCCCCTAGAACGCGCCAAGTCGGATGTACTCCCGGGCCAAAGAAGCAGAAAACATGGCGAGCGCGCCCAGAACCGAGAGATGTGAGGGACCTTTGCTTCAAGGCTTAAATTCCGGTAAAATGTGTCTACACTCCCAGACCCGACCCGTGGTTCTTATAAGATCTCGCCCTCGTCTTTTTGATCGCCCTGGAGCCCGCAAAACCGCCTTCGCAGCCGACATTACATCAGCTGGCACGTCCGAAACCTGGCCTCTGTCTCTCACGAGCTGCGGCCATATCTATCCGCCATCATGCCCCGTGGCACGCTGAGGCGTAGTAGAATGCCAAGGGCTGTCTTGTACGTGTCCTGTTAATATCCGAAGGCCCCCCCTCTTGCAGCAAAGTTCCGCATGCTGCCGCCCCCCTCGCAAGGCCACGATCATTTGTAAAAATAAACGACCCGCGCACACGAGGTCATCCCAAGGCCACGATCACTCGTGCAAAAAGCCAATGGATTCGCGCTCCCGAGGTCACAACCCATTGCAGAAAACAATGGAAGCGCCCTCCCGAGCTTACGAGACGGCCGAGGCCACCAATCAAGGCTGCCGAGATGGCCCAAGATGCCGCCAAAACGGCCCAAGACGGCCCCAAGGCGAACCAAAATGGCCCCAATACGGCCCAAGAGGCCCCGAATACGACCTAACTGGGCCCGAATAGTCCAGAATCATTGGTTCCAAATTCGTGTTCCAAAGATTTGAGAGAGCGTGATCCACCGCCGCATTACTTTGGAAAATTGCCCCCCTCTTCCTCCGGAACCCGGAGGTCCCCCCCCCGAAAATCCCCCCCCGGCTGGACCCCCCCCCCTCCTCCCCTCCCCCGGCAAAGCCCTCCCCCTCCCCTAACCCCCCCTCCCCCCCCCTCCCCCTCGAAAACCGGGGAGGGTCACTACTGGTTCGAAGCCCCCCCCCCCCCTCGAAAACCGGAGGAGGGGTCACTACGGATTCGAATCCCTCCCCCCCCCCCCCCCACTCACCGCCAGCAAACGACTCCTGGTCCCTACCACCGTCCGCGCCACATCCCCCACTGTTGTTCCCATCACCAGTGTCCTCACCACCAGTGTCCCCACTGGTTCAACCACCGTCCCTACTGTCCCCACCAGTGCTCCCACCACTGTCGCACGGTCCCCACTGTCCCCACCACTGTTCCCACCACGGCTCCACTCTCCCCAATTTCTCCACGGCCCCAACCGCTGCCCGACTATCCCCAGTGTCCCCACTGTCCCACTGACTCCTCCGCTGTCCCACCGAGCTGTCCCACTGTCCCCACCACTGTCCCCACTGTCCCCACCACTGTCCCCACTGTACCTCTGTTCCATTGTCCCACCGCCGTCCTCGCCACCGCCTTCACCACTGTCCCCACCACCACTGTACCCTCCACTGTCCCATTGCTTCCGCCTCCCAGTGTCCCCACACCGCTGTCCCCACCACCACCGTCCCCACCACTGTCCACTGTCCCCACTGTTCCCACCATTGTCCTCACCACTGTCCCCACCACTACAGTCCCCACCGCTGTCCCACTGTCCCCACCACTGTCCCGCTGTCCCCTCACCACTGTCCCCACCACCACCGTCCCCACCACTGTCCGCACCCCCCCTCGGTTTTCGAGGGGGGGGGGTTCGAACCGGTAGTGACCCCCCCCCTTTT